AATCCATTTGGTCAGCCCCCAGTACAACAGTTCACTCTTTGGAGACTCACAATCTCGCATCTTGCGCCTGCAGCTGCTCGTAGATGTCATTGTATGGCGTCCCAAAGGGGTATATGTTGGGCTTGTCTATGGCTGGTCCTGGTAGCCGTACTGCAGACCCAGTTCCCGATGAACACACCCGGAAGCCTGCTTTACTGCAATAACGCACGTTGGTCAACATACATCAAGCGTCGCAACAGTAAGGTACTCACGCCAACACGTAGTGTCCCTCCATAGATCGGTTCTGGCATGACATAAGTAAATGTCCAAGCGCCCACAGAAGCCGGCTTACTCACTTGATTACTCGCACAAACCACACAGAATAGCGGCCGAGGCTTGTATCCTGATGACTGCTGCTGCTGCTGTTGGACTTGGTTCTCATGAGGGAGATCTGCAGCACTCTGTGCCTCTTGCGCAAGCTGCTGGTTCGAGATGTCGTGCGCGGGGAACGTCGGTGGGGTGGCAGTCGGGTATGGAGGATACGCGTTGAGCGGAGGGTATCCCTGCGAAGTCGAGGCTTGCAGTTGAGGCGCCTGGGGCGGTGGTTGCTGATATTGGTAGCCTTGCTGGGGCGGCGCTTGGTATCCTTGTTGAGGAGGCACTTGGTAGCCCTGGTGTGGGGGACCCTGGGGCGGCTGGCTCGAGGGTGTGTTCGAATGCGACCGCTGCTGCTGCTGCAAACGAGGATCTTGCCGAGCTAGTCGAGGGTCGCGCGCTCTTCTGGGATCCATGTTGACTGTGTTCGATCAATGTCCTACGAAGGCGCGTCAGACACTGATTGAGAAGTGGATGGTGTTGACAACAGCCGAAGGGGCCTCAGCAGTATCTCGAACATAGTAAGTCGTCTTCTCGACCCAGCACAATGATAGTTTTTGCGGGTCGAGTATACGCTTCCACTCTGAGTCATCACTGGCCACCATGTTAAAGTGTTATTCTCACCTCCGATGTGCAAATCAGACAGAATTGCAGTGAAGAAAATACGGAACTCTGAGTGTCAAACGCGAGGATGAGTGAGAGAGGCTACTCGGTGGCGCCGCGCGAACGCGTCTGTGAGTCCGAGAAATGCGGACCGGGTTTGTCCGAGGAAACCACAGCATCCTGCCCCTGATCCTGCCTTCTCGAGACTCGAGTTCTACCGCAACGACACTCCGAGGACCCACTCGCTGGGCACTGGCTTGTCTAGAGAGACCTACTAAATATGCTCACAATGCATCTATGTCTCTCCGACATATCCATGTCCTAATAAGCACACGCTATTCATCGGTATGTGGTATTCTGCGATTAACATAAACTCATCCAGCTCTTCAAAATGTCACAATCCGACCCAACCATACAAGTATCCTAATTGTATCACTGCTGCTGCGCGACGAAAACCTGGGTCATGATCGCACAGTCATTCGAGCCTTTCTCCCAGAATCTCCTCTGTCAGGTCGGAGCATAATTTCCAAAAGTTGTTTGCGACGCCTTGGTCCTTGGCATGTTCCGTCTCTTGGTCAGGCTTTCCGTACGGTTCGGTATAATACTTGCCCTGAGATTGTGCGCGTGGGTGCAATTAGTAGATGCATTTACCGGTAGAAGCTAATGCAACACTGACCTGATACTCCTTCCAATTCTGTTCGTTGATGTCAGTGCTTGTCGCTGCCCATAGGCTCGCCTCGGCGCCCTCCTCGGCACTCTTCCCTCCGAGGCGACTCAGCTTGTCAATGACCGTTCCGATAGGCCCATACGATTCGCCCCAAGCGTTCTGTACTTCAGTATCCACCATGCCCGGGTGTACTGATATGGCAAGAATGGGTTTGGCAGTGTCCGCCAACTTACGACGGGCCAATTCTGCGGCAAATACTATCAAGCCGACCTTTGTCCGCCCATAGCTATTTGGCACGATGTCAGTACGCCTCGGGATGGTCTGAATTATAACTTACAGTCTCACGCCATCGTCCTCTCGATTGATCTCCTCCTTCGAGGTGAACCTGTCGCTAGGGGAGAAACGGTGCATCTCCGAGCTCTGCGTAACGATGCGAACGGTTGCCGGAGGTGCAGTTTCAGCCGTCTTCTTCATAACATCAAGAAGTCTCAACACAATCACGAAGTGGGCCAAATTGTTGACCTACACTCATCATGAGCTTGTGAGTGACCGTTTATCTCAGACTCCACTGACCTCAAAGTGTCTCTCGAGCCCATCATCAGTCATTCCGAAGGGGGCTTGCCCAATGCCGGCGTTGGCGATCAGGATGTCTAAGCGGTCGACCTCCTTAGCGAAGCGCTTCGACCACTCATTGACGTCCTTCAGATGCATCATGTCGAGCTGGTGCCATTTGAGAGATCCCTTCGAGCCGCTCTGCTTCAGCGCCTGGTTGATACTCTCCTCCGCATCCTTGCCGTGCTGAGGGTTGGCAGAGACGATGTGGACGGTCGCATTGTGCTGCGCCAACGCGGCGGCATCCCAGTAGCCGATACCTGCGGAACCCCCGGTGACAAGCGCGACGCGACCGGTGAGGTCTGGGATTTGATTCGGCCGGAAGCGTTTGCTGAGGAGAGTCGCTGGGTTGGCTGTATCGGGGAGCAGGGAAGACATGGCGCGAGGTCGACGAAACGGAAGGGTTATGGGACGAGGAGGCAATGATGTGGGCCGCACGCTTTTGACGGTGAGATGCATGCACCTCATATACACGACCGTGGGGTATATATGCGATTCTCTTTGACAGATGACGCACAAGTGCCCTGCATCGTAGCGTCTTACGTTGGTCTCGATATGGTGCGACGCACTCCGTTTCTGGTCTATGAGTCTATGACCTTACCAGCACCGCCACGGTAGCAGGCCGCTAGCGGCGAACTTCCCGTAGAATGAGATACATCCGGATTGCGGTTCGATTCTGTCAGATCTACCGTAATGTGGCCGAGCAACCGAAGCATTGCAGATAGATGCAAGTGCATCGCACATGCTACAGGTCAGGTAATGCGTCCACTATTATTGCTTGAATACCTTTGCTCCGATCGCTCTCCCAGGGGTTCTTCAGTGGGGCCTGTCAGTCGCTCTCGTTGATATTGGACGTGATTACCGCTCAGACTTGCGCCGACGCTTTCTTCTGCATATTTCCCAAATGCCCGACACACTTTTCTGGACCACCTCGCGATGTTTGGTGAGACAAGTTCTTTCAAAGCTAATGCATCACTATGTCGATGGTAAAATCAAACTCCAACATGTATAGTACACAACAGGTCCAAGAAAGCGATCAAGAATACACCGATCCACGTCGACGTCAGCGAAGCTCCTCACCCAGCTTCTCCTTGACGCAAGACGCACACAACTCCCAGAAGTTGTTCGCCACCGTCTGGTCCTTGGCAAGCGGGCTTTCGCCGCCCGGCTTTCCGTACGCTTCGGAGAAGTATTTGCCCTAGTCAAGGTCTCCAGTGAGCGGGTCATATTGCATCACTGATCCAGCCGGGGAGGACGTACCTGATAATCCTTCCAGTTGTCCCGGTTTATGTCCGTGCAGGTTGCGGCCCAAAGACACGACTCGGCACCTTCCTCGTCGGTAATTTGAGAAGAACGGGAGAAGAACTGCTTGATCTTGGCAATAGGGCCGGTGTCAGGGGTTTTCTTGATCTCCGAATCGACTCTGCCTGGATGGACCGCTATGGCAAGCACAGGAACTGTGCCCGGAGGATATGTCGCCAGTTTGCGGTTGGCGAGCTCACGCGTGAGGTAGATGAGGCCAAGTTTTGTACGCGCGTAGCTGCAACGCGGAGTCAGCGAGACTGTGGCGGGGATAGCGAGCTACGCACAGCTGAGTCTCATCTAACTGTGTGTTGATCTCCTCCTTGCTCGCGAATTTTGTCGATGCAGGTGCCGACCGATGCAGCTCAGAGCTCTGCATCACAATACGCACAGACCCAGCGACGCTGAACGCCGCCGTCCGCTGCATGAGCGGGAGCAGCCGTAATGCGAAGACATAGTGGGCAAGGTTGTTGACCTGAGAACGACTCAGCTAAACGGCTGGACGACCCAGTGCATCATCGACCTACCTCAAAATGCCTCTCGAGCCCGTCGTTCGTCATGACGAACGGCGACTGCCCGATACCAGCGTTGCAAATGAGGATATCCAAACGCTGCTCTTCCCTAACAATCTTCTGCGCCAGACCATCTACGGCCTTCAGATTGCTCATGTCGATGGCGTGCCATATGACGGAACCAGTCGACTCGCACTCCTTCAATGCGGCGTTGATGTCGACCTCGGTTTGTTTACCGTGCCAAGATGCCGTGGTGGAGACGATAATGACTTTTGCATTCGCCAGCGCAAGTTCGAGGGCGTCGAAGTAGCCGATTCCGGACGTCCCACCCGTGACCAGAGCGGTGCGACCAGAGAGGTCAGGGATATGTTCGGGCTTGAAACGTCGTGTGACCAGGATGTTATTGAGGCTGTCGGGAAGAGCAGGTGCAGGCACGGGGAGCGTATACGAGCCGATGCTCATTCGCCGCGAAGCCGTGCTCATGCGACGGCCTTCAGGCGACTGCGAGCCGATGCTCATGCGGCGCTGAGCAGCTTGGCTACTTGAGCTCATGCGCCGCTGCTTGACGACGGGAACGGCCGTCGTAGAGCCTGCGCTTGCGCTCATGCGACGCTGCTGTATGCCTTGAGACACGCTCATACGGCGTTGCTGAGTGGAACTTTGGGTAGAGTTGGGCATGGTGGGCAAAGACGATCCCACGTCGGTGAGCCATTAATCGCTACTTGTACCTCCTTGGTTTGCATCCGCTGAGCAGCTGAGCGTACCACCATGGTGCGGAATGGACGATCGTGGCTTGAGTCCTGCACAAATGCATGTGCGTCATAGGCGTTCTATACTTGCCCGGAGTTAACCTGGTCCCCCGTCGATCATGCGCCGATCACAAGCCTGGGGTAAGGAGCTTGCTGGTTATGCCTCTCTATATAGTTGGGCCTTAGAATCGAGGGTCATCCGGCCGACTAGCTCAGTTGGTTAGAGCGTGGTGCTAATACCTAATGGTACGCCAAGGTCGTCGGTTCGATCCCGGCGTTGGCCAGAGTTTTTGTGCCGGTGGGCTCAGCTGTCATTTTACCTCTTCCGACGCACTGTGTGCGCACGGCCCATAGATCTTTAAGCCTATTTTACACTCTTCTTTGGCTCATTTTGCCCGAGGAATGAAGTCGAGCTTAGGGGCTAACTTCACATCTAGCGCCCAGAGCAACTGCATAGTTCTTCAGCCACGGACGCCCGATATTCCCACGCACTTCAGCAGCGAACGGACGCCGGCGGTAAGCGTAGCAGCAGCATCCGCATCCTCAAGACCCGCTCGACGTCGCCATGGCCAAGTCCAAGAAGTGCGTGAATCTCTGCGAACGGAGGAGCAAGCTATGCTGCGTGCTGGGACAATACTGATGGTCGAATTCTGCGTGCAGCCATACCAACCACAACCAGAACCGCAAGGCTCACCGTAACGGTATCAAGAAGCCTAAGACCCACAGGACGCGGTCGATGAAGGGTGTACGTGCGCATGCGTTTTGTGCGATTTTTGTGGTGCTGATTTGCGTTGCGTGCTATAGGTTGACCCCAAGGTACGATGATATGTGCGCATTCCGAGAAAGACTGTCTTGACCGATGACTTTGTGCCGTAGTTCCGCCGCAACTCCAAGTACGCGTTGGTTGGTTCGGTGTGTATCCCAGTTCATGGCTTCCTACCGCACATCCTCATCTAGTTGTTCCGTCTACAGAGAAAAGCTCGTGCCGAGCAGAAGGCTGCCGCCGCATCATGATTTCCTTCCCCCGTTCTTGAGTAGAGGACTCCGGGTGCGGATGCCCGTTCTCTGGGGCAGGAGGGACAGTCGAGCACGTACGCATACGCCCGCCGGCCCCAGTCTCTCGCAAGGCGACGTCGATTCCATGTAAAACTACTCCTACCACGTTCATGCTGTATGCATCGCCGCTATGCTTAGGACCCACCGAGCAGAAATGGAAAAGCCCAAAAACATCCAGCGTCCGGAGTGCGACTATGAATATCTCGTACGCTCGTCCTATACATAGTGCAGAATGCAAGGGGACGATCCATTTCATGCGCAGCTAGCAAGCTCGGATCCATGCGGGTATGGATACAATGATACAGAGTATGTCCCAAAATACAACGCGCGTTGAGGGGTTTGGAGTGGGATCCACTATCGTGTCGGAAACGTCTTCCTCTGTTGCTCTAGCGTCGTCATCAAGCGATGAGCCTGCAATACATACAGTACGGGTCAGAAGTATACGCAGCGTCGCCAATCTGTGAGGACATACCGCTGCATCCTCCGGGGGCAATGCACCCTTGGCCATATTGTGCTTCCCGAATTTGAGCCTATGTCTATGCCGCTGAGGGAGCTTGTCTGTGCCCTCCTCTGGCACAAGCAGCCGCTCGCACTCCTCGCGTGTCGCGACGTGACCCAAGAGGAGGGAGAAGAACTTGTGCCGGAGGACGGTCTTGATACGCTCGAGCGCGTGCGTCGTGTACCACCCGTCGCGCTCGTTGCACGTCTCGCGCACAGCGTCCTCGTCCTCGATCATCTCCTTCAGCATCGGGTCCGTGATGTCGCAGAGCTGGAACGCGGCGGTCTCGGACGTGACCGTGGTGCCGTCGAAGATGTGCGACCGGCGGTCGTCGACCCCCGAGAAACGCGCCTGTGCGGATTCGTTGCGCTGCTCTTGCCTCCGGGAGACGACTGAGGGGCGAGATATCGGGTGGTTGATGTTGCGGAAGTAGAGTCGCTGGTAGCTGCGCGAAGAGTATGGTCAATGGAGCACATTGCAACGTTGACGGGGTCGCGTACAATCTGGCTTCTGGATCTTGGCGAGGATCATATCCGAGACGGACATATGTATCGCGCCAAGGTCCGTCTTCGAAAACATATGACACCAGCGGTAGCAAGTATTTAGAGCTTTGACGTGCGACGTAAGTTGAGGGGTACAGCAGCAGCGTACGTGGACCTACTTGATAATGTCTCGCACCTCCATAGGCGTGAATTGGTTGAAGATAGCCGCACGAGTCCATACCGGCCGCTCCTCAAACAACTACGAGCGTCACGGTCAGTCCAGAGTACTCGATCAGTTGGCAGCTCAAATGCACCTCCGCGAGCCTCTTCAGAATCTTCTTGTCCGCTTGACTGCGTTGTTCCTCAACAGGCGCGGACGGCTTGTCGGGCACCTACAACACGCCTCTGTAAGTCACCCCATACCATGTACGAACCAGGCAACCCACCCCTTTGTCCGCATATGATATCGCAATGGGACCGTAACCCTTCCAACGCATGCGGTTTATGAGCCGCTTCTTCTCTTCTCCTGTCTCCTCGTCGACTACGATAGTCTCCACCGACGCAGGATTGGCTTTGTAGCTAGTGCGGGCCATCAGTATGATATGAATCACGCTTCCATGGGGGTGCGAACGCACTTGTAATTCTGCGGGACTCCTTGGCGGCTGAACAGCGGTGGCGTGAATAATCTGAGGTTGCTCCTCGTCTTGGTGGGGCCGCTGGGACCTGCCGCTTCGCCTTCGCCGAGCAGCTGAGGGTCGATATCCATGGCGGATGGGTCCGCTTCGGTGATTGTGTAGTCCTCCTTCTCGGGTGGTATATGATACCGTAGGATACCGTCGACTGCGGTAGGCCAACTTAGAGTCGGTCAACCAGGGAAGTGAGATGTGCTTACCATCCATAGTATCCATTGCTTTGCGCAAATGAGCGACGGGGTCGGACATGTCAGGCTGATACTGGAAGTCCGCCATACCTGTTCATACCAACGTCAGCTCCAGTGAACAGACCACTACCATGCCCGCGCGTACTTCGGAACCGCGCCGTCTTCGGTACCACACCGACGGCCTCGATGGTATACTCCCCCACCGCACCGTCCTCCAGGCCTTGCCCCTCCTTCCTCTTCTTACGGCGCTTCACCACCTTCAGCACTACGTTACTCGTCGGCACGATCTCCCCGGGCACGGGGTGCGCGTACGGGTTGCCCGGGCGTAGCCGCAGCTCGAGCAGCGACTCGACCTTGTCCCGCCCGCTCGCACGGCGGAACGCGCCGTCGATCGCGTTTGGTCCGCCGAGCCGCTCGATGGCGAGGGGGACGGACGTGGGGCGGACGTAGCCCGGGTACTCGACGGAGTAGAAATGCGTCTGCGGGAGGGGCCGTTCGGGCGCAGGAGCAGGGGCCGGGCTGGATGAACTAGTTCCGGGGTTGGGCGCATTGGTGGCGGTGGGGGAGGTGTTCGAAGGGCCCGGCTGGGGCTGCGAGGGGCCTGCTTCTGGTTGTTCCATCTCGCGACTTGCAGACGGTGAGCGCGGGAGACAAGCATGCAGAGTGCACGAACGGAGCGCGAACGCGGCGATCAATGGGACGACGCGTCCAATCACGTGCAGTACATAGCGTACAGCGCGGCGCGATCGTCTCGCGGCTCGGAGGGTCGCTCTACGACGACCACCATGGCCTCTCAAGCAGAAGAACCACAGACATCGCCTGCGACAGAGGTATCCTCCAATGACGACGGAGGATTCTTTTCCAACATCCTCACTCCCGGTTCCTCGCTCAACCCGACTTTCCTGCTCATTCTCGACGGCGCGTTCGGTCTCCTGCTGGTCGTGCTCTTCTCGCTCTTCGTGATCACGCACTGGAACATCCATTTACTGTTCCTGATGGTCATTGAGGGGTGCTTGTGGGCGAGCGTGAAGTGGTAAGTCCCTCAAACGGATGTTGTGTGCCATGGCAGCGCGCGGATGGCTGACATTGCGCAGGTTCGTCCATGAGCTGCAGCAAGCTCAGACGCAAGAGGGCGCGTCCACTTCGCGGGGAGATGCGACGGAGAAGCACGCGTCGAAACCAAAGACGGAGTAGCCTTCTCGGCTGTACCCTCTCGATACCCGATCTAGATCATACACATTATATCCTACACAATCGTCCGCAACCGCCACGACACGAAATGGAGGAGGCAACACGCATCACCGTCTTCCTCGCTCGCTCGTCTCGTACCACGCCTTCGTCCTCCTCGCGCTATCCTGGGCAAGCTGGAACACTGCGAGCGAAGTGTGCGTTACCTTCGACCGTCGACGCTGTGCGAGAGCAAGCGACACTCACATTCTCGTTCCGTCCCGTCCATGCCTTCGCGGAAGGCTGCTGCGCCGGCGTCGCCTGCTGACGTGCCGGAGGTGGCGTGGAGGGAGGCGAAGTGCTGCGCTTGGTCGATCACGTCGGGGAGGCGGGCGCGGAAGGTCTGTGGGAGGCACGGAATGCGGGGCAAACAGGGAGGGAAGGCGAGGTGAGGAGAAGTCAAGCGGCGTGGAGGATGAGCAAACCGAGGAGGGGGGACGTACCTTTGTCAGCACTCCTGAGAGTTCTTCAGCGGGCACGTCGTTCAATCTGCGGGTTGTCCTGTCAGGGTTTCCTAGGTACAGGCGAAGGATACGAAACTCACAGATTCATGATCATCCGCCCGAAGCCGTACCACCATCCTCCTTGACCGACCAGGGCGGACAGTCGCACACTACGGGGCTCAGCGTTCAGCGCATTTCGCACACGCGCAGAGAAGGGCGGCGGGATGGTGAAGTCTGCGTAGTCTCTGTATACGTTCGGCAGGGGCAGGACCTATCTCAGCCGGACGGGTTGGGGGAGCAAACGCACGAAAGCGGGTGACTGACGAATAGACGAGGATGTACGCCAACCACAGCGGGATTTGTACCTTGCTAAGAGCTTTGATCTACCGTCGTCAGTTCGAAGTCAGCGCGCTATTCATCACAGAGCGTAAGAGAAGGACGCACATCTCCAGCCTTGCCGCCGTCGAGGTGGCCCATTTCCGGGACGTCGATCTTGAACGTACATTGGATCTTCTGGTTCTCGGCGAGGATGGACTCGATCGAGTAGTAGTCGTCGTCCATGGTTCAAAACCTCGTTGTGTATGAGCCCTCTCTTAGATTGTGGGGAAGTAACGTGCAGAACGCGTCGGGTGACGGCGGCGGGTGGCTGAAGAGGTGAGGATGCCGACGCGACGCGTCGAGAGACGCGCAAGGAGAC